TCTTTAGCATAGTCTTGGACCTTTTTCCAGAAACCAGCTGTCATTGAATATACATAAACTCTAGATCTGTCTAATTTCACTAGTTTGTAATCATCAGATAAACTGTCATATCCAAATCCATATTGGCAATAACTTTCCAAAGCACACAAATCGCAATATGGTATTTGCTTGGACTTCATTGTCGAGGGATTAAATACTATATATTGGATTAGACAAACCTTTATGCATACCAATCCATTGCAACTACCAATGATCGTGCAGAAGTTAGAAATATAATCAATCTTCTTAGCTACAATGTCAGAGGTCTGAAGTGTATAGATGACTACCACGATATTGAGTGATTATGAGTCTCGGCTACATGGTGGTTTTTCACAAAGGCATCCTAAAAATACCCCTATTTGGCACATATCATGAACATTGGTGAAGAAAGTAGGCAAGGGAATTCCTATTTGGCACATATCTGACGTCTGCTGTATATAGATGTGTACCACCATATTTAGTGATTATGAGTCTCGACTTTGTGATTGATTGATTGAGGTGATTTCTAGTGAAGTGAGAGTCGGAGATTAAAGAAAGCCATGACTTGGAAACACACTTGAATCTTATCAAAGACTTAATAGGCAATTTTAATAGTATTTCGACGAGGAGATGACGAGGAATGTAAGGCATTAATGTTGTACTCTCTGTTGCCTTCATCATCTCATTGCTTTGTTTGCTTTCTTCTTCTCTTTGGGCTACTTATGGATATTCGGTAGTGGAGGGACTTAGTTATAGTTATTTAGTATGAAAGGGCCTTGTTATAATTTCTGAATCTGAGAGTGCAATTACAATATTATTGTGGTGCTTATTGTAATTAATTAAATAGGATAAAATTATGGGATAACTCTATCTCTATCTAATTAGATAGGATAGAGTTATGGGATAACTCTATCTCTATCTAAATGGAGCTAGGATAAGAATTCCTTTTTTGATCCTCATCTCTAGCCCCATCTATATACACGATATATCTCTTATTCGGGAAGATATACAATCTTACAGCATACAGAATAACGAGAGTGAGAGATATAGGGTTTCTACAAACCTGTATTCCGAGGATATAGAGGACCAATCAAATTCACTATTATTCTCGGAGCATTGACGATTAATCAATCGTCCAAAGGTATGAAATCCCTTTTCAGTATTTCTTGATTTGATGAAATATCATGTGGTTATGTTCCTGAAATTTTATTATCGCTTCCGTTGTGCCTTCAATTGGTATCAGAGCCACCCATGTGATTTTCATTAAATCATAGTAATGATTTGATTTTTTGATAAAAGTCAATGTTTGATTATTTTTATTCATAATCATGGAATTAATTTTGATAGCATGAATAAATTGATGTGTTATATTAATCTAGACCTCATCCAATTATTGTGTACCTAAGGTTTGTATTGGGTCAGTATGTTAAGCAGCCGTTGGTAGCAAAAAGAGGCTACCCAGTGGAAAATATCTTTTTGTTATTATTATTATTAGTGTAAAACAGTCCATTAGATGGGCATCATTGTTTTCCATTAATAATTTAATACCAAAGGTTGTACCTTTTCCATGGTGATTCACACACACACATGAATGTGTGTGTGTGTGTGGGGGGGCGGGGGGTGGGGGGGACCCACTGGCTAGACAAAGGCTATTTATAAAACGGTGTTGTATATGCAGTCCATATAAATTATTTTTATAATGATGGGGTTTGTGCACAGTAATAGTCTTGTGATTCTTCAATATATTATACAATCACAATTCATGTATGAACGCATTTCAGACCACATTGGTAGTCAAAAGTTAACTTTTTGACTATCTAGAAAATGATCAAACTTATTAAATTATTTATTTAATTTAGAATCAAAGTGGATTAATTGATCTCATATATTTGCATGAGATCACTGTGTATAAATGATAAACAAGTTCCGTGGGCCACAACGAATTATTTATTTTTGATAGGAGTTTATCACTGTTTCATCAGTTCGGAGCCTGAGATAATATCTATGGTATAAAAATTCTTTGAATTTTTATAAACATATAAATATAATATATATATATATATATATATATATATATATATATATTTATTTATTTAGCAATATATTTCTTTGATTGGTTAACCCATGAGATGGGAATCCAAAGAGTGTATAATTAAAAGTTTTTATTTTTTACTTTTATTGTATCCAGCGGCTGCACATGGCCAATACCAACACCCATGAGATTGGGTGTTAGTAAAGAAAATCCATTGATTACCAGATTTATAAAATATATGGGATTTTGATTTTCTAATTATGACCTTCCAGCAAAGGACTTTCTATGTGAGGATTGTCCATGTATATTTGGTTTAGTGATTGTCAGTAACACCCATGTGATGGGTGTAATGCAACAATAGATAATTAAAATATTACCAGAATAAAATTGTTTTTTGACCATAGTTGGAAGTGTCCAGAGATGGTTATTAGTTTGTAATTGATTATATATATTATTAAATATATAAGGTAATTAGAAGTTTGATTGCCTTTTCCACATATTCATGTGATGAATACTGGAATAAAAAGGCAATGTTTGATTACCTTTTGTGAATAAAACATGATGTATTTCCATATATTCATGTGATGAATACTGGAATAAAAAGAAAATGTTTGATTACCTTTTGTATTACCCAATTTTGTGTAACTTCAATTACTAATTTATAATAATATATATTCATATATTTGCTTACACTGGTGAATAATAAAAAAATAATAATAATAATGAAATGGATGTTTGTACTCCCCGCCACCGTAACCGGGTGATGCCCATGTGATGGGTATAATCAAAAGAAATTATTTTGATTACCTTACATTGGTGACCATTAGATTCCCATGTGATGGGTATGATGAAAATGTAATATTTTAATTATTTTGAAGTTCAAAATCAGTATTTTATTTCCTTACTAATGATATTGAAGTTTGGTCTTCATTTTAAATTACATATTGGATGATTGTTGCGGCTGCACAATGCAGCTACTAACATCATTGTTATATATATATATATATAAAAGAGGGTATCCAGTGGTTCATGCATGACTTGCATGTGGTAACCCAAAAGTGATTAGATTACTTTTGGTTTTGACGCAAATGTGACGTGTACATATTATATGTATGTCTATAATCATGTATTTGTACATGTTTAGTGATCTATGCATGTGATTTGAGGAAGTTACTTTTATGTTATCATTGTTTAAATTGTTTGACATGTAGCAAGTGTAATCTGTTTACCAATTGAATTTATATATATTGTCAAATGCATATGTTTATATAAATGGAATATCAAAGCTTGATTACAGATGCAGCTAAATAGTTAATCTCTCTCATGGCCCGGTTGAGTTTTAATTTATTATTTAATTGCTTGTGATGTAATTAATTAATTAGAGGCGCCTTTTTAAAGGGCTGACCCAATAAAGGTTGGTTTTCCCTAGCCAAATAAGTTTATTTTATTTTATCTTATTTAGAATTTTTGTAAGCCCTAAATTGGGTACAGGACAAAGACTTGTACTATATTTATTAAATTTAGGATTGAAATTCTTGAAGAGTTCAAGAAATGATTCAAACAAAATAAGAGTTAAAGGCTTCCAATGGAGGAATTTGGAAGCACAAGGTGATCATGAGATGATATTTAATCGGCCATGAGAGGGGATTAGCACTATTTATGGTGCAACATGATTTTTATTTGCATACTTATATTCATGTGATGATTATATGCTTAAATCATGAATTGCTCTAGTAGTGTTTTAGTTAATTTTAAACTAAATAAAATTGGAATTTTTTTTTTTATTTGGGTTGTTTTAGGAAAATTAGCTCTTTCCAAAATCTTTTCAAAAATTTGATTCTCTGAAAATTAAATATTTTATTTTAATTAAATTTTGTGGAAAGAATAGAATTATCTCATAGTTAAAGCTCAAGAATTTGAGCTAAGTTGACCCAAATGGATTAGGCTCATTGAGCCTAGAATAAATTTTAAAATAGATTTCAATATTATTTAGATTAAAATTAATATTGTAATATGATGATATTATGAATAGGATATATGGAATTTAAAAACTCTCTAATTTCAAAAGTTAAGTGGGAGCGGTATTTAATCTTAAATTCCACAGTCTTCCATTGTCGATCTATTGTAAGGTGGAATAAGTACCTCGCCACCAATCTTGGGAACTTCTTCGGAGGGTATTTGTTTCACTGGTTACTAGATATAGATCTCGCATGATAGAACTAGCGGCAGGCGGATGGGGACGATCACCATTAGGAGACGGACCTCATTCAATTGCACTACTTCTAGAAAATGGTATACACTTGACTAAGTGGGAGTACGCTCCACCTCAGGGGGTATTTTCACTTAGAGGCCAAGGATAAATCGGTTGCCATATTTCATTTGGCATGAGATGCCTAGACAGTAGGATATGGTGGAAATTGTTTTTGTCTAATCAAGGTAGTGACATGATCTCTTGGTAGTGGCATGTTCTTATTGCCCCCTAAGAGAAACGAGTGAATACCTACATGGATTATGATTACCGATGTTTTCATTACATCAGTGGTTTAAAGAGGCCCACTGAGAGACTATATGAAAACTAAAGTTTAATTTTTGTTTCAGAATGTATGCACTTTTATTTATGCATGCATATTTATATTTCAGATGTCGAATGTTTTCAGTTCACTTGCTGCTATACTTAAGGACAACAAATTAACCGGGTCAAACTATGTTGACTGGAAGAGAAATCTTCACATTGTTCTTACTGCACAAGAGTACAAATTTGTGCTCACTCAAGAGTGCCCTCCTATGCGTGGCCCTGATGATAGCCAAGAGCTAAAAGGAATGTATGAGAAGTGGCAAAAGGCTGATGAAATGGCCAAGTGCTATATTTTAGCTTCAATGTCAAATGTTTTACTTGTTGAACCTTAAGGAAATGTTTGGGGAACAAAGTAGAGCAGCACGACAAGTCGCAATGAAGCAGATTATGAACGCTCGTATGCCCGAAGGAGCTCCAATTCGCAAACACCTTTTAAAAATGATTTCTTATTTCAATGAACTGGAGGTTTTTGGGGCAGACATAAATGGTGAGACGCAGGTTGATATAATTCTGCAATCATTGCCAGAGTCATTGAATCAGTTGAAACTAAATTATTCTATGAATAGTATAGCTTATTCTTTATCAGAACTGATGAATGCTCTGCAAGTTGCAGAAGGTATTTTTAAGGGTCAAGGGAGTGTTCATACAGTGGAAAAGGGTTCTTCTTCTCATGGAAAGCCGAAAGGTAAGAACCATAATAAGAAACAAGGTTTTACTGTCCCCAAAAAGGTTGGTACTAGTGGTGGAATTGTCAAGTCTAAGGGAAAGGCTAAAATCAAAAGAAATTGTTTCCATTATGGTAAGGAAGGACACTAGAAAAGGAATTGTTGGGTGTATCTAACAAAGAAGCACTCTGAAGGTATGTTTCAGTCACTCATTATTCAGACATGATCTGTGGTTGGATCTACGGATACCTGGTTTGTAGATTCTGGAGCCACTAACCATGTTTGCAATTTATTGCAGGGGTTCTAGGAAACCAGAAGACTGAGTGAAAGGGAGATATCTATCTTCATCTTGCTTCACAAGCAAGGATAGCGGCAGTATCAGTAGGAGTAGTTATTTTGAAAAAAATGATAGGAGTTTAGTATTAAAGATTGTCTTTATGTACCAGAGGGTAGAAGATACTTGATTTCTATTTTAGTTTTTTCAAAATCTGGGTTTTCAATATTTTTAATTTAGAAGTTTTAATAAATAAAAATAAAAGGTTTATTTATTCTGGTACATTAATGGATAGTCTTTATTTAATTACTCTTATACCTCACTCCTTATATGATACTGAAATAATTGAGACATCAGAAACTACGAGTCCAGAATCTCTTATTATATCGGAACCTTAACGTAGTGGGAGGGTTATCAGGCCATCTGATAGGTTAATGCTCTTGGGAAAGTCTGACGAGGTGATCACAGAAGAGCAAGATCCCTCTATTCTTATGAAAAGGTTATGAATGATTGTGACACAAAACATTCGGTTTGATTAGAATCTGAATGGGTTTTGTGTATACAAGAAGAGTGATGGAAGAGTGGTGGTGTTTTAAAGAAATAGTTCAGTATAGGGATATTGTTGTCACTAAGATTGCATCTGCAAATAACCTTGTAGATTCTTTCAGTAAGACTCTACCAATTAGGGTTTTTGAGTCCATATTGAAGGGATGTGTGTTAGATGTAATAGTAATTGGCTTTAAGTGTAAGTGAGAGATTGTTAGGATTATATGCCTTACAAGCCAATTAATTAATATTAATTCGATATTTTATTTATAAATATGATATTCGTGCATTGGGCTTTACATATATTTGCATGAGATGCATTATTGTCCTCAAGTTGCATTATAGGTGACTTAAGTGTGTAAATGAGATTTACACGCAGGAGATTTGGGCTCACCGGCTTCTTGCACCTTGGCATTGTTTACAATCAGTGATAAAAGTTGGGCACTTTTATCTATAAGACTATAACACACTTTACCTCTATAAGATAGGATGGTTTGTCTCGACTATTAGGGTAGTTGACTTTAAGGTAGTGTGTTAGTGTGCTTAGAGTGCACTGAACTGGATCACTATAAGATCACACCATACAAATTACTGTTATTATTTTGGTGTGATTCTTATCTACTAAATACATTAAGCTCTAAATCTTGAGAGGTTTAGTGGACTCAATTTTCAGTATTGGTCACTTTGACTTACCAACATGTGAGATCTTTTAAGGTCAATACCATGGTATCTTGGGTGGCTAATGTTGAAGTTCTGGGAACACAAATGCTCAACATGGAATCCACACTCTTTATAAGAGTTAGAATATCCCTTTAATGCAATTTAATAAGTTTGATCACTGGAATCTGGCCAGGGCATTTTAGTAAAATGTTTACTAAATTATTTATTTAGAAAAATATTTATTTTGAAAATTCTTTTATAAAAGAAATTCAGTGATCATAAGGATTAAATTGGTTACTCAAGGAATATAAGAAGTAAGCATGCCTTAGGTGGGACAGTATTTATTTTCCTTGGGGCTACTTATGGATATTCGGTAGTGGAGGGACTTAGTTATAATTATTTAGTATGAAAGGGCCTTGTTGTAATTTCTGAATCCTAAAGTGCAATTACAATATTATTGTAGTGCTTATTGTAATTAATTAAATAGGATAAAGTTGTGGGATAACTCTATCTCTATCTAATTAGATAGGATAGAGTTATGAGATAACTTTATCTCTATCTAAATGGAGCTAGGATAAGAATTCATTTTTTGATCTTCATCTCTAGCCCCATCTATATACACGATATATCTCTTATTCGGGAAGATATACAATCTTACAGTATACAGAATAACGAGAGTGAGAGATATAGGGTTTCCAAAAACCTATGTATTCCGGGGATATAGAGGTGAAGGTTTACTGGTGTTTAAGGCCAAAGGAGGACCAATCTAATTCACTATTATTCTCGGAGTGTTGACGATTAATCAATCATCCAAAGGTATGAAATCCCTTTTCAGTATTTCTTGATTTGATGAAATATCATGTGGTTATGTTCCTGAAATTTTATTATCGCTTCCGTTGTGCCTTCAGAAAAGACCAGGGCTGGTCGACTAAGTCCCCACCTAATACAAGGCCTCAAAAATTTTTATTTTCTTATATATTGTAACCTTTTTAAAAAATTCGTTGTTCCTTCAGAAAAGACCAGGGCTGGTCGACTAAGTCCCCACCTAATACAAGGCCTCAAAAAATTTTATTTTCTTATATATTGTAACCTTTTTAAAAAATTTGTTTATATTTCCTTCTATTATTAAACTCAACCATTAGCAGAAGCCACAAAAAATTCTTATTTCCTTATATTATTACCTTTTTAAAACTTTATTTTCTTATATTATTATACCATAACCGAGGCCTCAAAATTTTATTTTTTTTGATATTTTTATTTTTTTTCCCTTATATTATTACCTACATTAAAATTTTTATTTCCTTGTTAGCTCCCAACCAACAGAAGGAATATATATAGTGGCCCGAAAGAATTAATTCCTATTTTTTATCCTTATCTAACTTATTCATCCTCTCTTTCCTCTCATTCTACGCATTTTTTTTTTTTAAACGTACAATTGGATTAATTATTATTATTATTATTATATATTTTTGGCTATAAGGGAAGTAATTTCATTCAAGATTGAGGGAACAAATACAAACATATCAATTCCTGTAGGATAAACTCACAGCAATATTTAAGAAAAGTTGAATGTCCTACTAGGGAGGGAATATTTTTATACAATTGCACTCCAATCTTAAATTTTGACACCTCTAACCCTAATTTTAAAAATTAGTAATTATCTTTCTCAAATACCACAATTAAACTTCCGTGTAGAAAAGACCAGGGCCGGTCGACTAAGTCCCCACCTAATAGAAGGCCTCAAAAAAATTTATTTCCTTATATATTGTAACCTTTTTTTAAAAATTGTTTATATTTCCTTCTATTATTATATTAAAGCCACCAAAAATTCTTATTTCCTTATATTATTATTTTTTTAAAATTTTATTTCCTTATATTATTATACCATAACCAATAGCAGGAGGCCTTAAAATTTTATTTTTTTATATTTTATTTTCTTCTATAATTACCCTAGTTAGTTAATTCACATATCATACGCGAATTAAACGTGTACATACGAATTTTGGGAAAATACTTCCGTTTGCCGAGTCGCTATTTTTTTTTTCCTATCACATCGTATTTAACGCGTTTATTCGTTTTGGTTGTTCTGTTTAATTCGTAACCTAATTATTATTATTATTTTTTTCTTTTCATTCACGAACTTCACGTTCTAATAGCGTATTTTTCTAAAACACAAACTGTTTTCTTTTCTACCCTCTTTTGCTTGGTATAACCATTATCTTTCAAGCCATCACAATAATGTTATTTGTTGTGCAATCTCTTATTATTCTCACTCTAATTATGATATTTAATCAAAGTAATGAAAGATATATATATATATATATATATATATATATATATATATATATATATATATATATATTTGTTTTGTTTTGTTTTGTTGTGAGATCTTTTAAATTTTGTTAATATCTTTATTATTATTATTATTTTAGAAGTTTGTAGATCACCACGCTCCCTAGATGTTTTAGTAGAGTATTATATTATATACTTAAAATTTTTTTTTATGATGATTGTGATAGTGTTAATTGTAATATATTTATTTTATTATTTGTTACATATTCTTTATTGTCCTTATAAATATAACATATATAAGAAAATAATAAGATGTATATAGCCAAATTTTTTATCGCGAATTTTTAGTGTATATAACGTATTATACACGTACGTATTCATATTTTTACTCGAATTATACTCGTACATTTTCGTACCCGTATTTTTCCCGTACCGTATTTTACTAACTATTACCTCCAATAAAATTTTTATTTCTTTATTAGGTCCCAACCAACAGGAGAAATATAATGGCCTGAAAGAATTAAGTCATATTTTCTATCCTTATCTAACTTATTCTTCCTTTCCTTCCTCTCATTCTACGCGTTTGTGTGTGTTTTTTTAACGTACAATTGGATTAATTATTATTATTGTTATAATTTTTTTTGCTATAAGGGAAGTAATTTCATTCAATATTGAGGGAGAAAATACAAACATATCAATTCCTGTACGATAAACGCACAACAATACAACTTTGAATACATTGTGGAATTTCAAATATAAAAATAAAAAGAAAAATAAAAATATATTAGACTTGAATACAAAAATCTACTTAATAAATTTAAATGAATATAATTAATTATTATTTGACATTAACATATTATATATTAAAAGATAATTTTATAATTTTTGCCTAAAGCCTAAAATTATAGCCTAGGGGTTGAGATACCTTTCTTCTCATATGGCTAGCGAAAACTTTTGAAGTTCATTAATAAATTAAATATATTTTGAATCCATAAATTATAGGAAAAGAGATGTGATATATTTTGAATCCATAAATTATAGGCAAAGAGACGTGATATATGTGATTGTCATCTATGATTTGGTAATTAAAATAGGACGTGTCCATTTATTATTGGTCCATATTAGCGGTGAGGACCTAAGTATTGTCCTATAAGAACTATATGGCATAAGAAACTAAGAACATAAGTGAAGACTTAAGTATTGTTCTATAATAAATATATGGCATAAGAAACTAAGAACATAAGGAAATTTATCACTAAAGAAAACTAACACAAAAAAGTACCCCCAAAATTCAACTCTCCCTAATGTCATGCCCCGCCTATGGAGGTTATGCTACGCAAGCGCTGAGGAGTACGCTGCATGACAACTGCATGGTAAGTGGAGTTTCTAGAGTCTTCCGAAAATGTCTAGAGTTGTGTGGAAGATTCTAGATATGTGTAGAAATGTGTAGTATATTCTACAGTTCTCCAGAATTGTGTGGCGTAGTATGGAGAATTTTAGAATATTGTAAATACTTATAGATATGTATGTAAGTATGAAAAAGGTAGGAGAAGAT